GAGCCACTGGGACAACCCGAAGCACTGGGGGAATGGTGGGCTCTGATCTCCAAGGGTTCTCTCAAATACCTGCCAATAGAATTTGAGTCACACGCTTTGAGCAAGCCTTCGTTTTTTCCCCATTTCTTCTGATGCCCCAAATTCAGACACTGTATTCTTAGCATGAAGCCACATCAAAGGGCCTTTTCACCTCTGTGGCTCAGATTGCTGAGGAACAGATCCGACAGCTCTGGCCTTCCTCCAGGAGCAAGGTGATGCGCACCCCACAACCCACTCACCTCAAGGCAGAGTTCTGTCCCAGAAATGTGGCCCACCTCACACCTGCTGCTTCTTGGCTGTGAGGGCAGCTGCACCTGTCGGCACCAAGCCAGCACTTTCCAGAGAAAGCAGTGAGGGAGCCACCTCATCAGGCTTCTCTGCAGCCCAAAGGCTGTCTCCCCGCAGGGTCAGCGCAGTGTGGAGCCTGGGTCTCATCCCACAGCACAGGGCAATGGCAGTCTGCAGCACAGACACAGGCAGCCACGGCCACTGGAGCTGAAAGAGTAAAAGGGCAACTGGCAAGGCACACCAGAAGCATAATGGTGTCCGCAGCACACTGAGGGTGACATTGACACAGCCACCACAGGACATGCACACAGCTTCCGTCATATGTGGATGCAGCTGCCACAGGACATACGTGGTTTCCCTCAGGTATAGATAGCAGTCACCACAGGACACACACACACAGCAGCCACCATGGCTATGCACACACAGCTCACTGTGGACAGTAGCCACATGAACATGCAGTTTCCCTCACCTGTGGACACAACTACCACACGACACATACATACTTCCCGCATGCATGGATGCAGCCACCACAGGACACACACAGCTCCCCTCACACTACAGGACACATGCACACAGATTCAGGCATGGACAGCAGCCACCACAAGAAACATGCACACAGCTTCTCTTAGATGTGGCCAGCAGCCACCACAGGACACGCACACTCATCTTCTCTCAGGTGTGGCCAGCAGCTATCACAGGACACGTGCACACACTTTCTCTTAGGTGTGGACAGCAGCTAACACGGGACACGCACACACAACTTCTCTCAGGTGTGGACACAGCCACCATGGGACCCACACATACAGCTTCCTTCACTCCAAAGCTGTGGTCTCTACTTAGAACTAACTTGAGGCGGAACCTTCACTTCCATCTGCATCAATTTAAGAGTGGGCAACATTTTAATCTCTCTTGATAAAAGGGAATTGTCCACTCTCTGAACTTAATTAGGGTACTACTTCCAAAGAAGAAAACAGGTAATAGCAGTCACACAGTCATTCTCTGTCACAATTTCACAGCTATCTCCCCGGCTTTATTTTTATAATTATTACCATGGGTAGCGTACCAAGTACAAGATTGTTTTTGAAAGAAGCTAAGTAAAATACCATTTATCAGAAAAATAAAGTGAAAACTAAGCCCGGAGCCACAGGGGCACTAAGTCAGGTACTAACACAGGCACCAATGCCACTATAAGTATGGGTCTCTGGACCTGAGGAGGTCAGACAGGATGGACGGGGGACAGTGTGCAGAATGGGCGCCTCTCTGCCAACCCAAGTGTGAAACAGTTGTTGGTGCCAACACGAGGCTGCGAGCTTCCTGTGTACAGAAGGCTCTAAGAAGGACACCCACACAGGAGAGACGCATCGAAGAGGCGTCCACAGCTGCTCATCCCCACGGAGGGATGAGAAAAGAAACAGCAGACCAGACACAGAAAGACACTGCACTGATGCTACAACTGCTCTCATGGTTAAAAGAACCCAAACCCGATAATGACAGTCTCCTTCCTCAAGACTCCAACCGTCCACTTCCTCACAATCCCTATGCGCCCAAATGTATCCATGAGGATCTGGAGAAGCCATCGTCCACTGCTGCTATAAACAAAGGTAAAGGCAGATGAACATTAACAACACACACCTGTCCTGCATGAACAAGTACCTTTTACAAACTGATGTTAAGTAATGTATTTGACTTTCAGAGTCTTTCTATAGCTTACTGAAACATGCAAAATTCTGTTGACGGTAGTATAACTTCATTATAAAAAGAATAAGAAGGGCTGGGGAGAAGGCTCAGTGGAAAAAGTGCTTCCCTGACACGCGCAAGGGCCTGAGTTCAATCCCTGGTTCCGCCAAAAAAAAAAAAAAAAAAAAAAGAGGGAAATTGTATTTATACCTAAGAAGTGAAAGGATGTTGAGAATTGTTATTGTTTCTAATGATAGCTTACATTTTCTCATTTTTTTCCAAAACTAAACAGAACTCACCCATTACTCCCATTCTTAAATATCATTTTATATAATTTAGTCATATTTCAACAAACATAGCTGGTGGGAAGGTTAACTTACATGTTATGGCACACATTAAGGTAATTTATAGGTAAAATCTCTACATTGAAACAAAAATTCTTTTAGACTGCTGGACTCTGGAAAATGACCCATTTTTGCAAGATTTATTCCAAC